CAGGTGAGCAGCCTCCTTGTTTTCTCTGTGCTTTAGCTAATCCAAATCCTCAATGATTGAGAAGAGAGAAATGCCACAGTTAAGTAGTTTTATGTCAGATATATTTAATTCCAATCCACTTCTCAAGTGCTGTATTTAAACAGGCTTGCTTATCATCTTAAATGTAGCATCTTGAAATATTTTAATCCTTTAGTTTACCTCCTAAGAAATCTGTGTTAAATGCTCTGCAGCAGCTAGGTTAGCGGTGGGGCTCTGCTCAGCCCACATCCCACTGCTGCCTGTGCCTCAAAAATACCCAGCTTCAAAAAGAGTCTTGGCAGAAGAGTGCAGGCCATGTTGGTTTGGTTTGAAATAGAGCAAAGGCCCCTCACTCACTGCTTCTCATACTACACTGAAACGTTCCTATGCATTTTCAAATGTTTAAGTTAAAATAGTCTTGAAAAAATCTTGAAGATCTTGGCTTATTTTTGAGCAGGCTTTAAGAAAATAATGTGAATGGTGGTTGTTACACAGGTCACTATAGCAGGTAATGCTGCTATGGAGACKTGCTTGGGAAGGCCCTCTGAGCTTGGCCCTCCCGTGCCAGAAGTGCTCGGGGTGCTCAGAGCCGGTGACTCCTGATTTCCCAATCACTTATCCCAACTGTTGGATAGCATGTGCTGCATTCAGGGCCCCCGTGTTCAGGGCTACCTTGTAACCCACAGCAATGTGGGAAGGCTGCCCCGACTTCTAGTGGGAAGGAACTGCGAATCGTCTACTTGGAGCTTGCCTGGGATTGAGCCCAGGGGCAGACCTGCAGGTCCCCCAAATCCTCAAACCAAACAGAGATACTGGAAGATCTAAGCAAACACCCTGATGACTTCAGGTGATCTTTTTTAGCCCTTTTTTTAGATCTAGGCCTAACTCAACCTCAGTACCTTGTATTTCACTGAGCTCTTTCTTGCTGATTTGGAACCAATTATAATATATCACCTTTCAAGAAGATCACCAGCTTATTTGGAGCTGTAAAGATAAGGTAGCTGAGCTATGACTTGACTGGGTAATGATGAAGGAGCCACATTMTATCTGGGAAGGAGGCAGGAGAATAGAAAAACTGGATTTGCGTTGGAGGTGGCTAAAAGGCAAAGCTGCTGAGGGCAGGCGCRCAGAGGGATGACTGGGAGATGGCAAGACATTCGTCTCGGGTCAGGCTGATGTTACACACTCCCCGTTTCCTGAGAGAGCTGAAGCAAGAGATGCAGGAAAAATAGTGGAAATGTTTTGGAAGTGGCAGCCGAAGAGCAATGTTTAGTGATAGTCAAGGCACCTAAGTTACAAACCCCACCGCACTGGGGTTATGCTCACTGTRTCCCACGGTGCCCCGTGCCCCGCTTGGAGCACGAGCCCCTCGCCGCCATCCTCAAGGAGCTGAAAGCGCCCGCCGGCAGCCCAGCAGTACCAAAAATCCTCAGAATTTTTTTTTTCTGTTCTGCCTCATAGAGAGATAAAAGCAGAGACCAGTAATAGGAAGTATTGCTGATTTGAGCCATGGGGCTGTTTCATCAGTGCTGGATAGGAGGCTGCTGATGTTCCTTTAAAAGCCTCATTTTAGAGTCTTGATAATGTCAATGTAGGTAGATTTAGCTGTGTTTTTTCTTTTTTTTTCATTTCTGTTTGTTTTTCCAAACAAACTGTTTTCCCATGAACTTAATTGTGTTTTAATTGCGCTATAGCAGCTGCTAGACTTGTGCTGAGTTTGTGGCTGAATTATGTTTTTGCCTTTAAAAGTTAGTCTAGATGACTGGGGTTCTTGCTTCCGAGTGCCAACAGCTGGAGGCTCTGACAAGAAATAGGTATTTTGGTCAGGCAGTGCAATTTAGGAGATAACTGCAGTTTCTACAGACAGATGTAGAGATGGTATGGCTGATACTCTCCAAGTATAATTCTCTGCTAGATGACAGCATGTTAGACACGTCATTTTATTTGATAGCTTTAGCATGCAAGAAGTAAAATTCTGGTGAGCACATGTGAGAAGCCTTCATAAGGCACAGGGATGGGAACGGGGCATCTAGTCTTTCCAACGAGGMATCCTTCAGCTAAAACCTCCCCTTGATTGATGTGTTTCATCGAGCTGCTCAGTGTCTATGACTTGTTTCTGTCTTCTAAACTTTGCATACTTGAATGAGAATAGTGGAAATTTTGTATCATGATTATGCTATAAATAAAACATTATTCAGATGATGCTGGTCAACAGAGCATAAAATAAATAGCAAATCCTGATGTCCTTGAATTAGACACAATCTGAAACAAAACAAAAAAAAACCTAAAATTTTGCTCCAGGTTTGCACCACACGCTTTCTCCTCGTTGCTGCAAAAGCTCTTCCAGGGGCACTAGGGCTGCTTAGAGCTGAAAAATTATCCCTAAACCAGCCAGTTGCACCAGTGATCTACGAGCTGAAGCAGCGCCTCAGGATCCAGTGAGGACTTCTTGAGGGGCAAAAAGGAAAGGGTGGAAAAAAAAAAAGGCAAAACTGAACAAACTATCTTCCATGTTTCAGAGTGATATGTTTAAAAAAGGAAATGGTGAATGTCCCTTGTTCCTACCACACTGAAGGCTGAAGGAAAACAGGCTGATATTGATGTGTATATAGAAAGTTATCTTTTACTTGGATATACCTATATGAAAAAAATCGAATATTGGAAAGATTGGTAGCAAGCATATTTAGTAAGGAATTTAAATGCATACTTGCAATATCAATTCATGCAAGACTCTACTGCTGAGATTTGCATTAAATTAAAATGCATTAGACTTTTTYCTTTTAGTTAAATGGGAAAGACATTTGCAGCAGTCATCAGTAGTTATTGTCTCCTTGGGACCCTTTCTAAAGACGGTATGTTGTGTTCTCCAGTTTCTCCACAAAGCTATTTTGAGATGTTTGAAGTATTACTTTGATTCTCATTTTAAAGTCCTCTGAATAAGAGTCACAAGAGGAACAACTGCTGAAATTTGAGACTTGTCTAAAAATAACTGAAAACCCTTTCCTATGTAATAGGTGACTGCAGACATGACCTCGGCTCAGGCCGTGTGGGCTCACGGTCCCCGTGGCGGTGGACGAGCGGGTTTGGTGGCCGGGATCGCACCCTGCTCCGGCCACATGAACGTTGCGTGAGGCCAAACAGAATCACAGAATATTTAAGGTTGGAAGGGACCTCTACAGATCATCTAGTCCAACCTTCCCGCTCAAGCAGGCACACCTAGAGCATGTGGCACAGGGTGGCATCCAGGTGGGTTTGGAAGACCTCCAGAGAAGGAGACTCCACAACCTCCCTGGGCAGCCTGTGCCAGGGCTCTGTCACCCTAACAGTAAAGAAGATCCTCCTCACCTGGAGACGGAACTTTCTGTGCTCCAGCTTGTGGCCATTACCCCTCATCCTGTCGCTGGCCACCAGTGAAAACAGCCTGTCCCCTTCCTCCCTGCATTCTCCCTTCCTGAACTTATACATATTAATCATATCCCCTCTGAGCCTTCTCTTCTCCAGAGAAAACAGGCCCAGCTCACTCAGCCTCTCTTCATACGAGAGATGTTCCATTCCCTTAATCATCCTGGTTGCYCTTCTCTGGAACAAACACCTCTGGGATTGAAGAGACGGCTCCTCTCTGGTGAGGTTTCTTCTGTCCAAGCTGCAGGTGGGTGGAAGAGATTATAGCGTTTCTATGTCCTTTATTTTGGACTTTTACTGTTCCGGCTTTTCTGTCCCTGGTGCTGGTGTCGCCGTTGGTCACTCCCAACGTGGAGACAGCGAAGCTCCCCGGGGAGCTCGGGCTGCGCCACCGCCATCTTATCTCGGCCAGCAGACGCTCCTGCTGTTGCAGCCGTCCTCTCGAATCCCTCACAGCTTTGTTTTCCCGGRATGAAGGAGGACACAAACCAGCAATTCCCCTGCCGTGGTGTGCACRCACGTCAGCGCTGCTTAAGATACMMARSAWATAWYRWTATWTSYTKKGTGGCTTGAGACGCATCCTAGAKCAGAGCAAAATGGCTCCTCCGAGCCCTGCCGGGGMTGCGGTCGCTCTGCAGGATGAAGGTTCAGCAGCAGGAAAGCTCCTTGGGGGGCATTTACCAGGGAGGTGAAACAGCTCTGCCTTGTGCTCTCTGGAAGGACAGGCCTCGAGTTGTTTGCAGCTGGGTCTATGGGTGAGGAAACGGGGCCGCTCGTGGTTAATCCCTTCCTGCAGCTCTGTGCACCTCGTGCTGCTCCCGCCCTGGTGGCACTTTGCTCCGAGCTTCCTCTGAAGAGCCTGGGAGTCATTTTGAGCGAAGGCCACAGGTCGGGGCAGTTTTTGGGCCACAYGTCAGGCTGGGTGTCTGAGGAATCCAGGTGTTCAAACCTCAAGTGCTCAAAAGTGAACAAAATCCTGAGTGTTTAGCTGAAAAATGCTGCTTTCTGTGGGAGTCCTCCTATGTCCTAGATCCTCCTATGTCCTAGACAGCTCAAGTGTTTCTTAAGCAGGGTTCAKCTGCCCAGAGGATGCTCTGGGGTGGGATGAGAGGTGATGGGCACCACTTTAAACACAGAAACCCCTCCTTGAATGCAAGAAAACACTTCTTCATGGTAAGGATGACTGAGCACCCTCCATCCCTGGAGCTATTCCAGCCCCAGGCTCCCTGCTCCAGCTGATGGAGAYTGAGCAGGGGCATGGACCTGATGATCTCTACAAATGATCTGCAACTCCCACCTACTCTGTGATTGTGGTGTAAGAACAACCTCCAATGGGAAAAACACCCAGTGATGTGTTGCAATATCCCTAGAGATAAAAGTAGCCTTAAAAAATAAATTAGGCCACAAGCAAGTGACAGATTTAGCAAACTCTTTATTTACAAATACATGTACACAGGTTCTGTATGTGTACATATATTTAGGTGTATATACATACATGATTTCCACATACTCTACAGGAAGTAGCATGTAGGGTTTTCTTTTAACTGCCTACAGTGCTCAGTAAAAATACATGGCAATAAAATCATGGCTTACAGCTAAGTTACAAAAGCACCAAACACAAAACTCAGAGAGTATAGCAATAAATCCAAGCATATATACAGCTAAACCTAGGGCACGTATACAGAATACAAAGTAGAACATCTTGTAGGAACCGACAGTAACAGACAAACTAAAAAGCTTCACTTGGACCAGGAGGGACTACATATGGAATAAGGTTAAGGAAAACATTCAGATTCTTGATCAAACTAAACCACGCACTAAATGTGTCTCTTAAAGAGAAAAACAAATTAACCAGGTATTTGTATGTCTGAAATAGAAGAATTTTCTATATAAGCCTTTACCAAGGAAATCTGAATTAATCTTGTGAGTGCTTCTGAGCTGTCAAAGTTACTTCCCTCACCGTGCGTGTTATTTGTTTGCAGGTAATAGGAAGCACTTCCTCAGCCAGCTGCCTTTTCCAAAGGACCTGGGACATCAGCCTGGGACACAAAGGGCTGTGACAGCAAAAACCCAAAGTAAGAGCTGTTGTTTTGCCTTTTTACAAACTTTTTTTCCAGTAATTGGCAGCAGCAGCAGTAAAATCAACAGCCAGGGAAAGCGCCAGGGGGTTGTGCTCACAGCTGCGTTGCTGGTGCTGCCGTCGCCTTCAGCAGGAGCCACGTCCGTCCCAGAGATACTGGCCGGCCCCGCTGTCACCACAATTAGCTGTGACAACGCGGCGCTGTCCTGCGCTGGTTGCAAATCTGGGTGAATGCTTTTAGATTGAGAGCAGTAGTTTCAAATCTGCTTTCCAAGGTGAAGTGGTTTTTTTTGTTATCCTCTTTATTTTTCAGTGCCGACAGGTTGGCTTCAAATATACAATACCCTACTAAGGACAACACAGAATGCTAGTTTTACTCTGGTGTTATCCTTATGCTGTGATGCATCTTCCTAGCTAGTGCATAATGCTAAGAAGAGTAGGTAGCAAGATCCGCTAATTCTCCTATTCTCCTTTGAATGGATGCCAGCCACTGATATCATGTTCAGGCTTAAATAGAGATTTTTTTTTTCCAAGGTACACAAACTATCACTGTAAGACAAGTACTGGTATATGTGTAAATATTTGAGAACAGCCAAAAATAATGGAAACCACATGAGGAAAAAATGAACACCACACCCGTATGCTTGTGCCTAATAAACTAAAGCACATCAGTGTCTAATTGCATGATTGCCTGTCCACAGGTAAGGAGTCTGAAGGAAGAGCTACTCACTCCTCAATGAATACTCAGAATTGCAACAACCCATCGAAAGGCCATTTCCTTTGCTATCTTTCATAGAAATATCACTTGCTTTCAATATTTGGGTTAGATCCTCTGAGCTCTACGTGGGTGACGCAAAATTAGTGGGAGAGCTGTTTGTTTGAATTTTGTACATAAGCAGCTGGTAACTGCCTTAGTTTATCATGTTTTTTATGTTGCCAGCTTCTACAGTTTCCAATAAGAAATGGGATCACTTCCTGCAGTAAAAGAAAAAAATGTCTCTGCCATCAACTCTAACAAAAACCTGATTTTGATGATCAATGTTCATTAGGTGCATAAATTTGTTTGATTTTTTTCTCAAGTGTTTGCCTCATAGTTCCCTTATTAATGATGAGAGCACTAAAACGCAGTGAATGAATGTTTGTTACGTAAACAGTTCGATTATTTACGATACAGCACAAATACGGCTACGTTTTAAAAGACATGTTAACCGGAAAGGCAAAGATACTCCTCTCCAAAAGGTTAATAGAAATACTTATTTTTATGACGGATGCTGCGTTTCTACAGTTACCAGCATCTCCACTGTATCAGCCGGAGGACAAGTATGGAGTCTCGCTATGGTAATTATAATCAGGACAGACCTTTTGCACCAGTTTGTAATCTACGCTGTAAAAAGCAATGTAAATGCAGATAACTTTAAAGGGTTTCGAACACAACCAGGAGACATGGCTTTGTGTCTGCTCTTGATAGCAGATCTTGGAAGGGTCGAAGTTGCACAACGCAGTCTTTTTAGCGCGGTCGGTTTTTTCATACTCGATTCGACAATTGAAGGACTTGGATTCCTTGGTCTCCAGTGTGGACTGGGGAGAGGATTCGAATTCCACCACTTTGGAAGGTGGCACCAGGCTTACGGAAACGTTCCCGAGACCCGTCGAGTTGTGTCGGAAATAAACGCTGAAGGTTCCGTTGCCGTGATCCACGATCTTCCCTGTGATCAGCAGGTTCAGTTTAACAGTTTTGATGTTAGAGTGGAAGTCGCCCCATCCAAACATCTTCTTGAATTTCCCAGTTTTAACTATTGGCCTGCGTTTAGTTCGTGCAAGGGATTCCTGAACCTCCGTGATGTTGGACAACCAATCCCAAAAGTTTTCTATGCTGTCCGAGTAGGACACGTGGCCATGTTTCAGCACTGGTGACGGTTTAACAAACAGCCGCAGAGGGTTGATGATCCGGGAGTGGACCACGTTGTTGACCAATGTCTCTGCAGCATCCTTGTCTTCCCAATCCAGCACGTCTGTGGCTTGGACTACTTGATTGGCATCACAGAATACCTGTTTTAAAACAGAACGGAAGAATTATAAAGTGAGAAAATAAAACACCTACAAAATGTAGAAAAGCATTAATTTTTAATTTTTTTTATAGCAAGAGACTCCAGCATTAGTTAAAACACTGGTCTTTAAACAAGTAGTTCCTGTCCTGTGGGGGCTAATGCAGTGAGTAACAACTGCTGCCCCATGAGAAAGCTCACGTATTTTATACACAAGATGAGAAAGTGTCTGAGATCCCTCTGTACTAGGGAGCCTTGCTGGCAGAAAAAATGCAGAAAGTTTAAGGGCTGCGATGTGTCGGAGACCCCCTTTCCTTACGGATCCTTTAAAAGAAAACATGCCTAAAGATGCTGGAAAGCATGAACAGCAACCTGGCATCTTTGGGGAGCACCCAGTAACAGCCGTGAGCCTCGAGCTGCTTTGTGATCCTGATGGTGGTGAAAGAGGGAGTGAAAAAGAAGAGCAGAACTTCCTGTTCTGTCTTTTCTCCCCACTTACCCTCCCAGYACTTCTAAGCTTTAAATCCTCTTATTCAGATGCTTTCGGTGTACTTTTCCTGTAAACCTCTTGCATTAAAATATTTCCCATATTTTTGTGGTCTTTCTGGTCTTGCCTCTTTCTCTTTTCTGTATTTAATATATCAATATATATTCCTCATTTGAGACAGACCGTGAAAATAACTGTACTTTTTGTAGTTTCAGACTCGGGTGCCCATATATAACAATGTTTRTGGCTTTCCAGAAGCGCTGAGCAATGCTAGGCATAGGGCTCTTCTAACCTTGGCCGTGTCAAACTTCCAAAAAATGCTAAGTCTAGTTTGCAAATCAGAATGTAAATAACTGTTTTTCGAATTGGCAGAATGTTGTTAGATTTTCAAAGTTAAGCTTTCAAAACTTAATATCAGTTTTCCAATTAGTTGTAGAGACATACTGGCCATGTACCTCTATTCTGCATGTTGTAAGATAAGGGAATCCTGTTAAAAATACAAAACTCAAGCAGATTCAAAAAGAGGACAGAAGCAGGATTATTGACATGCCCAAAATCATCTTTTTCTCTTTTTCATTCCTTAAAGTCTTGAATGCTTTTGTAAAACRTACTTCTTTGCTTGTTCTCCTCTTCAGGACAATTTTATACCATCTTTCATAGGTATGAACGAAAAGCAGCTGCAATTCTGAATCCACTCACACATTGTGAAGTGCATATAAAGAATGAAAAGAGCAATCAAGATGATTAAGAGAGTGGAGCATCTACCRYACAAGGAAGGACTGAGTGAGTTGGGCCTGTTTTCCCTGGAGAAGAGGAGGTTGAGAGAGGATCTGATCAATATGTACCAATACCTGAGGGGAGAACATAGGGAGGAAGGCACCAAACTTTTCTCACTGGTGGCCAGTGACAGGATAAGGGGCAATGGATGTAAGTTAAAACCCAGGCAGTTCCATCTCTATATGAGGAAGAGCTTCTTTCCTGTGAGGGTGACAGAGCAGTGGAACAGGCTGCCCAGGGAGGTTGTGGAGTYTCCTTCTCTGGAGGTCTTCCAAACCCGCCTGGATGCCGCCCTGTGCCCCGTGCTCTGGGTGTCCCTGCTTGAGCAGGAAGATTGGACTAGATGATCTCTAGAGGTCCCTTCCAATTTTAACAATTCTRTGATTCTGTGAATGAAAAGGGTTCACAGGGAAAGAATGATGTTACACCGAGCCCCTCACTAGGATCCGTTCTCTAGCAATAGGCTCTAAACCAGAACCCAAACCCATTACACCAGGTCCTCTTCCTTATCTCCTATTAACATAATAATTAAGGTTTAATCTCATTTGAATGTTGAAAGACAGCCGTCATTTCTGCTAAATATATCCATTTTTCTCAATATATCTATTGAGTTGTGAGCTCAAAAAAGCAGGAGATTCTACTGGAACCCATGATAGACGCTTATCTGGACCTGGACCGGCACAGGCAGCCCCGTCCTAGCCATGCTACAGAAACCCATCTGTTGTGATAATCAGCTCCTGGTGAGGCAATGTCAGGTTTTCACATGGTTCTCCAGCCACTTTTAAGCTTGTTTGTGACAAACGGTGAGCAACCTGCCCAGCACAGGAAGGAGAATAGCTTCCCTGCTAGGGACAAGTACAGATGTCATCCTGTGTAGATGACACAGGAAGTGGTGGACACATTTGCCCWTCTTTCACACATCTTTCACCCTGAAAATTGACATGAGGGCATTTAGGAGCATGAAGGAAGCTCTTTTGYTGCATTTCCAGGCCCCAATCAAGGTCCACACCAGAGCGTGACAATGCAGAACCACCACAGTTAAGTGCAGCCACATTGACCTGCAGTTATGCTGGCCTGAAACTCGAGCAGCTGTCAGGAATGTCAGCAACTTCTAGTTGACTTGGAGGAAATTGCAGATTGAAATTAAAAAAAAAGAAAAAGCCTTTGGATTCCAARCCATTTGGCCCAGAGATGAGTCTAACTGTGTATGTACCCGCACACAGCTATGGCTGTCCTTTGACAAGGGCAGAGGAGCCGTCAGGAGTGATTTTTTGGGCTAATTTTCTCTTGCAGTGTTTATTGAAATCTCCGCGCTATCGCTGCTTGGCTTCTCTCCCCCTCCTTTTTTTGAAGAGATCTGGAGGGCACTGAGTCGTGTGTTCCCTGTAATGCTCCCTCTGTGTCTCTTCAGGGACTCTCACTGCAAACGCGATAGCGCAGCATTAACTTCCAAAACTGCTTTTGTAGGAGGCTCTTGCATAAAGCAAAAATAACATGTAGGCATCTGGATCAGCACGGCTGGCACGGGGAAGGCGGCGTGTGCCGCAGGCCACCGGGCCTGTCACATCAGCACGGTTGTGGGGCACAATGACTTCAGCCCTGTGGTGGTATCAAGCTAAACCACTGCTGCTTTTAATGATGTATGTGCTACGCTGAGCAGCTGCTGTGCGCGCACGGCTGCGGGAGGCGGCCCTGGAGCCGCAGCCACGTGCACGGCGTCATGCGGCAGCGAAAGAGCTTTTGTGATATGGGAACGCCAAATCATTAATATGCTGAATTGTGGGGATAAAATAGTGCTGTTTAAGGAGTTAAATCTTCCATTTAAACTGAGTAAGGTGTCTTCCCCCTCTTTGATAGAGTTTGCAGACTGTGGCACTGCAATAGCATGCAGACTTATGTGCAGTTTTAATTCTTGACTCTGCTTCATCCTACCGCTGTCTTGTTTCATTCATTTCATTACAGAGGCTGAAAAAAAGTTGTGAGCTGAACCAGTGGCAGGGAAGAAGGCTCCACAAGCGCTGGATTGGACTTTTGTTGTGTTCTGTGAATATTCAGTAATTAAAAGGTGCCTAACAGAGAGCTTGGATCCGCTCRGTGCCGTGCAGGAGTGGGGATGAACCTGGATTGTTCTGAAGGACAAATAATTTTTGTGCTTTTCTAATGTAAAGTTTTCTTGGTGTGCAGATTTTTTTCTATTCTAAACAACAATTTTCCTCGACACGTCACAAAGGCCTTTTGCTTGTTCACAGTTTTTTTTATGAGCGAGGATGGGCTGGTGCTTTTTATTCAGCTCTTTATTCATTTGGTTAGCAATTTCCAGGAAATAAAAAAAAAATCTGCATGACAAGTACGCAGCTCAGGCTAGAAAATTGACTTCCTCAGCATCTCCTCATTTTACAGCAACGCTTTTCAAGAGTGGAAAATATTGCTGGTAGGGTGTCTCAAGAATACTTGCTTACCCAAGTCAGTGTGTACATGTAAATAGATGGTCATTGCTGCAGTTCTCTGCTGCGCCTGCGTTTTCCCATTCCCTCCAAAACATCAGTTTCCAAATGGAAGCGATCGCCTCATCTTCTCCCATATTACTGAGGCTGGAAAACATCTCCCAGTTACCTCTGTACTGACTCCAAACATTTACATTAGGATGGGTAGGTTTTTTCCAGTAATGGTCGTAATCTTGGACCATCACGATGTATAAATTCACCATATCCCTTGCTTGTTTCTTATCACRGGTTAATCCCAAGAACAGCTACAACTAGAGGTGCTCCGTGGTGTATAATTGTGTGTTTTTAGACTCTGAACTGTCCATTCTTTCCGTGTGCTTCCCTGATCTGAGAGACTCTTATTACCTGTCAAAATCCAAGAAGGATTTTGATTGTGGTACAAAGACACAGAATTAAATAATGATCTTCCCTGTGARCTATTACAGAGAAATTAGCCTGTATTGATGAGATACTGATAAAGTGCTATAATTTGCTTATTTGCCCTTTAAGTTTGCCCTTGATTAATCGGAACATGCCCCCCAAACCTTTTCCTAGGCACTAAAGAAAACCAGGTGTTCCCAGGTGCGAGTTACTCATCCCAATCTTTTGGGAATCATTTCCAGGTTATTAACCATCACCAGCAATCATTTCCGTAGCTTCATCCTGCTGGGTGAAGCACTTTAAAACTCAACGAATAGCTGAAATAACAGGTCTGTAGGGATCAATACTTCTGAACCACCTTCTGGTCCCTCAATGGTGCCACCAGGATCTTGATATCCCTCAAAGGAGGAGGAAGGTGCCGGGAGGGACATGCTCCTCAGGGACCTCCTTCCAGCCCGGCACTTGTCCGCATGAGAAGCACCTGGGGAAGCTCCCAGCAGGAGCTGGGACTCCGTCCAGATGTCCCCCATCTGGGGACAGTATTCCAGAGATTTTATCCAGTAGGATCATATTCCTGCTAGGGCTGTATCCACATTCCAGCTTCGTGCTGATTTCTGCCTCTTTTATGCCACGTGTGGCTATAATGATGCGGGATCGCTGAGCTGCGGCACAAAGGCCGGGCTTGAGGTGGCGGGGAGGGAGGGAAGAGAAATAGCTCTGCTTTATCCCTTTGAAAATGCAGTGATTTCAACACATTTATCAAATTTTAAATAATTCATGTCTTGACAGGCCTTATCAATTTTGCAAAGCACATACATTAACCAGATACAACGATATCATATTAGCTTTTTCAGCATCTTATACTGAAGCCCAAAA